TGAATTTCAAGTACATTTACAAAATTTTCCTAGCGTGTCCAGTTTTTGCGAAAAAAAATTTAAGTTCGAAAATAGCAAATTTCAAATATTTTTTAAATAGAATTTAGACTTAATTTTTCCGAGGAAAAAACTGCCTATCAATGAAATGCCAATTCGTCTGAAGGATTCTATCTTATGTCGATGAGTTGAGCAGAAATAAATGAAAAATTACACAAAAAAACTCAGTTGTTCAATATTTTTTTCACACATACGAAAATCTTAGTATATATATGAATATATTTTAAAAACGAATTGAGTGTTTTTTTATCCATCGACAAGAGGTAGAATCCATCAGACGAATTGAAGTTTCATTAGTACGTGCTCTTCTCGGTAAAATTATATTTTTTTTAATTTTTTTTTTAATTTTCGCAGTTTCAATAATTTTTTACTCAAAAGCCGGACGTGCTAGAAAAAAAATCTCTCATATACGATTGGTCCTGTTTTTGAGATAAAATACGAAAGATATGAATTTTTTGGAACCGAGTTATATGAGTATTCGTTGATTTGTTATTTGTTTTTTTTTACTACATATATGTAGGTGAACAACCGTGTTACAGACCTGATCTAATTGCGCGCGTTTTTCATTTAAAGCTACACTGTCTTCTCGATGACATAAATAAAAAGCATATTTTTGGAAAAGTTGCAGCTGTAATATATACAACAGAGTTTCAGAAAAGGGGCCTTCCCCATGCTCATATACTTATATCTTTAGACAATGATGATAAATTCCACGACACGTGCGCTATCGATAACATTGTATGCGCTGAAATACCGTTCGCAGGAGAGGATCCCCAGCTTAATGATTTAGTGGGCCGAAATATGATCCATGGCCCATGTGGCTGCTTCAATGCTAATTCTGTTTGTATGCGTGATGGTTCCTGCATAAAAAATTTTTCTAAAGAGTTTGCCCCTCATACACGTGATAATGTCAATGGATATCCAGTATATAGGAGAAGGGATACTAAAATCTCTGTAGAAAAAAATGACGTATCCGTTGACAACAGATTTGTAGTCCCATACAACAAATATTTGCTTCGAAAGTACCAAGCACATATTAACGTTGAAGTTTGTACGACAGTGAAAAGCATTAAATATATCTACAAGTACATTTACAAAGGTTTCTGGGGGTTTTCTGGGTCGCTGATTACATATCTAAAGTCATTTACCAAAAATTCAAAATGGCGGATCCAATATGGCGGACGAAAATTTAAAAAAATCGGTAGATTTCTATGTAACTGGGTATCTGGGGATTTTCTGGGTTGCTGATTACTAAAGTCATTTACTTAATTTACTTTATTTACTTCGGAACGAGCATTTCCATCAGATATTTCTTTCAATTTACTAATCACATAATCACGGACACCT